TGATATCCAGGAGCTAGTCACTGTTCTATTGTTAAATGAAGAAGATATTTGAATTTGCTTCTGCTAAGAGTCTAGGAGCATGAACAGAGATCACTCTAAATTAAAATTCATAGGTTTTCTGTGGCACCCTAAGCTATGTGAGCCAAAATGCAAGTCCACAGAGGTAGTTCACTAATTGCAATATGGGCATATGGGTCCTTGCTGGAGTCTATGAGCTTTAAAGAGAGATTGTTGCTAATGTTTGAGCATAATAAAAGGACAATCAAAAATCCTCATCAGTGCTTTGTAGCAAGGAAGGGAGTGATTGACTTTGCAGTCTAGGAGCGGAGGTCCCTGGGACCATCAAAGGGGAAGAGCAGAGAGCCGGACCCTACCCAGAGAAGCAGTGATGCCTGAGATGGAGGCAGAGACAATGACGTGGAGAGATGGAGCAGCTGGAGACTCTAGACCCAGAGAGGGAGAGGGGCTGTGTGCTGATGACCCAGGGGCAGGCTTGCAGGGTATACCCTTTGGTTGGTTGATGATACATGGAGGGGATTGTAACCATGGCAATGAAACGATATATCATAGGATGAATGTAAAACTAATGTTCTCCCATGTAAACTATCACATAATTCACAATAAAACATTAAAAAAAAAAAATCCACATGAGTTTACTTTTAGAATCAGGAGGGAGATGGTAGGAAGTTTTGACAGGTATTACTCTGCTGGATTTAGGCATCTAGTACTTTGAACCTGAAAAATCTCCTCTCAAATATGACCTTGGAGGTGAGCATTAGGGATCTCCGCTCTTTCTACTGAAGTATGGAAATAAAATTTTGGTTCTGTTTGAACTACAGAATTTACTTTCCAGAAGGGAGCTGTTCCATCCAAAGTCATTCTAGTGCCATTTTCCCATAACACGGAGGAATGTGAAGTTCTTTTTAGTATGAGCCTGGCCATTAAGATACAGGGAAGTTGGTGTGTTTGGGTAACCCACAGAAAGTACCTCAAGAACAAGTTTGGTTATGCTTACAACCTGAAGATCAAGATACAGACTGATAAAGATTTGGATAAACCAAAGGAGCCTAAATAACGTATTTCAACAACCTTCTCAGGTAATGTAAACTGAGACCGTTTTGTGACAATTATGTTAAATCACATTTGTTGTTGTAACCCTCCATATGTTGTATATCTCTAATACCTATGCCCTGTGAGTTACCCAGGAGTATCAAGCTCCCATATTGTACTTTGTACTTTGGGTACAAATGTTCCTATGCTTTTTCTTGTCCTTAAGTATACTAAAAAGCTTTCTCAAAATATCTGGGACCTTTACTCATCTTTTGTAGGCATCGAACAATAAAGAAATCATAGTTTTCTCTGACCATTGAATTTACTAGCACTAGACTAGGAACCAAAGGTCCAGGGTTTGAGCCTGCCAGCTGCTCTGCAGGAGAAAGATGAGGCTTTCTGTTCCCACAAAGATTTTTTTAAAAAAAGCATTGCAAATACTATACACGGCCTCTATGAGTCGGAACCGACTCTACGGTACTTAATAACAACAATAACAATTAATAATGGTAACTCTGTATCTGACTTATATGTACTCATGCTAAATTCTCAAGTTTCTCTCACCTATTAAACAAGTATTTTCTTGTGCTGATGGAGAAGCCAAAATTTTCATATTAATTTCAGTAAGCACCTGTGTTGCTAATGAATGACAAAAGAAAGTTATAAGTCAATGTCATTCATGAACATAAATATAAAAATCTATGCAAACTATTAAAAAATTAGGTTCAGCAATATATGAGGGGGCTTCAAAAAGTTCATGGGAAAATATCATCATTTAATTCCATTTTTCCACAAATTTTTTGAAGTCCCTTCATATTAAATCATGAACAGGTTGGGTTTATATCAAGAATTCAAGGTTGGTTTATAAAGTAAAATAATCTAATCATCTCAATATATGGAAAAGGATGATTTAAACACCCATTCATAATAATAATAATAAAGCACACACAGAATAATAGAAATAGAATGGCGCTTACTTAAGCTATAAGGGGTAAGTTACAAAATCTAGCAAGTCTCATAGTTAATGGAATCCTGGTATGGCACTGTGGGTTAATGCACTGGACTTGAAAGTCAGTTTGAACTGCAAGATCGGTGGTTCAAGCCCACCAACCACTCTTCAGAAACCCTACACAGGCTCACTGTGGATCGGAACCAACTCAATGACACTTAACAACAATCATAATTAATGTGGATCTTAAATTGGAGAGTCCTAACCAGAGGTGTTGCCCACCACTAGGTCAGTTGGTCATATTGTGATGGCTCTCATGATGCTGGAAGTGATATCACTGGTATTTTCAGTGCCAGCAGGGCCACCCATGAAGTCCTGGTGTGGCGGTATAGAGTAAGCATCAGACCGCAAAGTCAGTTTGAAATGCAAGGTTCATAGTTCAAACCCACCAGTCGCTCCTTGGAAACACTATACAGGGTTGCAATGAGTCAAAATCAACCCAAAGGCACTTAACAACAAGGGTCACCCATGGTGAACAGGTTTCAGTGGAGATTCCAGACTAGAAAAAAGGAAAGGCAGACTCCTGACTGTTTAGCCATTGAAAACCTTATGAATAGCAGTGGACCACTGTCAGATATGCAAACGGAAGATGCAAATGGTACGGATAGCACCAGAATATTGTCGGATATAATGCCGGAAGATAAGCCCCTCAGGTGGAAGACCATCAAAGTATGACTGGGGAAGAGCTGCCTCCTCGGAGTAGAGTTGACAGTGAGAACGCACAAGGCGTAAGTGTTCGTTCATATTCTATGTCTCGGAAATTTCAGCAAACATGTAGAAAATATTCAAAGCATCATTGAAAATAATTAACACCATACTGGAAATAACATAATGGAATAAATGGAAATATGTCTTTATCCTGAAAGCCTATTCAGCAAGCAAGGAAAATAAACACAAAACATAAA